TAAATCGAATAAAAAAAAAATTATTTTAAAATAACTTATCATTAAAAATAAATTTAAATTTAAATTTTTTCTTTCATGTGATGCAAAACATTTGGTAGCCACTGTATTTATTATCCCCTGAAAAGTGCTGAATCTTTAGAAAATGCCTGTCACATTGTAATGGACACATTGCATAAAAATGAAAATGATAAAGACGTCCCGTTCTCATTAATTTACCTTATTGATAATAATCAATCAGGCTCAAATTTTAAACCTCGTGTTGCTTATCTAGCTGCAACTACTTTTGATATTGATCAAAAAGTGGATGACAAGAAATCAAAAAGATGCATGCCCGAAAAATTATTAGAAACTCTTGAAACAATTGATCTGACAAAAAGTGTCAATGAAAGTTACGATGTATATATAGAATTAAGACGAAATATGACAACTCATTTATTTTTAAAATGTAAATCTTGGCCAATTGATCTTGTAATAAGAGAAGATAGCCATGCAAAAGTTGTTCTAAATGATGAGTCTCAAGCAATACTATTTCCTGTTAAAATTCAATTTCATGGAAGACAAATCTTATCTGCCGTATTAATTTGTGGTATTAATCCTTCTCGTCCACTTGATAAAGAATATATGGAATTTTTACAAGTATGTTTTAATAGCTCATTCTTATTAAATTCTTCTTACTTACGATACTTTATGAATATGTTTAGTTGGTGGTAAATCAAGTTAGTTTAATCTTAACACAAGGTGCATTAAGAGAAGATGAAAAAAAGCGAGTAGAAATGCTAACCGATTTAAATCGTCAAAAAGTCACGTTTTTTCAAAATATCAGTCATGAATTACGCAGTATGATTGATTATTTTATAATATGTGCTGTTATATTTATTTTTATGGCAGAAGCTAATTTCTCTTTCAATATTTTTAGCGCCATTAACGTTAATGCTTTCTCCGCTTGATCAAACAATTAATTCATGCATGCATAAAACAACAATATATTCTCTTCTTCAGATTGTTCAGCGGAATACTCGTAGATTGCTTAAACTTGTTAATAATCTACTTCAAGTAAGTCTATATTTTAATGTTATAAAATGCAATGGCAGTGACATATAACTTATCGCATAAACGCGAAATAACGCGTTTCAAAAGATCGTAGTACTGTATGATAATAACGATAATACAGTATTACTTAAAATCACATAGTTCACTAAATCGACCTAATGTGCTGTAATCTCATACATAGTTTTTATTTGGTTTTTCGAAAGTCATGTTTCCTGAAAGAACATTATCCTGCAAAAATCAACCAGCAACTTGAATTGCAAAGTAAAATTTTGAGAGATTAATTAATATCGTCACTGCCACAAAAACTTAAAATATAACTATTATCTTAAAATAAGTTTTACAATTTTGTAGGTTTCAAATATTGAAACTGGCCAACTAAAAGTGCAATATCGTGAGACTAATATTGCAAAACTCACTAAAGAATTGGCGACTAATTTTAGTAACATGGCTAGCAAGTTGAACTTGGATTATATTATAGAAATTCCAAATCCGGACGAGTTTGATAAAGCTTTGGAAGATAAAGTTTATCTGGATCGTGACTTGTTTGAAACAATTATTTATAATCTTTGTAAGCACCTATAATCATAAATGTTTCTCTGAAACCTAATATTAATACTCAAATCCTAACTTTTTAAAGGTTCAAATGCATTTAAACATACTTGGAATGGATATGTTAAAGTTCGTTTATATATCGATCATGAAGATGAGAAAGACATAATAATTCTTGAAGTATCTGATACAGGTTAATAATATTTCTTATTCATGCAATTTATTATGTATTATATTTTAAATTTATAATTGTGTCTTGCTTATTTAATTTAGGTGTTGGAATTTCTGAAACTGATCTTAAAAATATATTTCAACGTTTTTATCGTGTGGAATCTCGACAATCTCGTAGTCACGAAGGTACTGGAATCGGTCTCGCTCTTGTAAAGGAGCTTATTATGTGTCATGGTGGAGATATTACTGTGTCTTCAAAAGTTGGTCAAGGAACAACATTTAAATGTCAGTTTCTAACAGGATATGAACACCTACCAACTAATCAAATTTATAATAATGGAAAAGAAGATGACACTTTCAATAATGATCAGCAATCATATTCAAAACAACAACTATATTTAGAAGAAAATTTGCAATGGATTCAAAATAATAAACCCGCAATTGATACAATAAACCAGAAATCCATGGATCTTGCTAATATGGATATAGATAGATCATTGGCGAATAAAAATATTTCTAATAAACCAATAAAGCATAAGGTTTTAATTGTTGATGATAACGTTGATATGAGGTGAAGATTCCTTTGATTAAGTTCTAAATCAAAATTTTGACAGCCATTTCCTAACAATTTATTATTTATAGAAATTATATAAAGGAATTATTAGAAAAAGAATTTGACGTATATTGCGCTTGTGATGGTTGTGACGCTTTGCTGTTTTTAACAAACATATCTCAACTACCGGATTTAATTCTCAGCGGCAAGTATTATATTTCGTGCTTGAATTGCCTAAAGTTACCTCTTAGACCAAGTTGGAAATTCAAATTGATTTTAATGTCTCACGAGAACTTTTTCTAATAAACAATGTTCTCGATTTTTTAAAAAAGTTATGATTATTAAATTTAAGAAAACTTTTTGTTTAAAAAGAAAAGTTCTCAATTTAGAATTGATATTCTATGAGAATATGATACTGCTCTAGACATTTGAAATTATTTACAATGCAAAAAATTTAACTTAGGGAGGGAATAATTTCATTTCACTCTAGACACAAGTTAGCAATGTAATTGCGTTAACATTTTTATTAATTAAATTAATAGATATCATGATGCCAAATATGAATGGATATGAATTATTAAATGCATTAAGATCTAACACAAAGACAGAATTAATTCCAATTATCTTGTTGACTGCAAAGGCTGGCGAATGTTCTAGTATTAAAGGTAATATTATTCACTTTTGATAAAATTTGTTTATCTCGAAATTATTTTTTAACTCTATATTATTTTTTAGCATTTGATGATGGTGTAAATGATTATTTGGTAAAACCATTTAATTCTCGACAATTAATTGCTCGCATACACACCAATATTAAACTTTCAAAATTTCGTTGTCAAATAATATCTCGACAATGTAAACAAGAAAAAATGAAGCAATTATTAATTTCTATTTCAGATAATATTCTTTACGGAATAGATTTAAAAGAAGCATTTTCAAATGCTGTTAAGGAAATTCATCAAATATTATCATGTTGTCGAATATTTATTGTTTTTTGCGAATCATTAAAAGCTCAAAACCGTGCAATAATCGCTTTATCTGAAGATCCAAAAGCAAATAGGTAGTTATTTTTAGCTAATTGAATTTATATGAAAATTTAATCACAAGAATCTAACTTGAAATTTAATGGTTAATAAAGCGAAAATCATATAATAACTAAATTCATATCTGAACCATTACAAATTGAGCAATTCCTGGAAACTAATGACTCAACTTACTTGTCTTCTAATGCACAAGATGATTATGCAATTGAAATAGATGTCTCACATAAAACATATTGCATTGATACTAGTGGACAAGTATCTATGCTATCTTCAACAATAATAATAAATAATAGCTATTTAGGATATATAAAAGCACATAGATCGTCGGATTTTACTTTGAAATTGAGTTATTTAGACAAATATCAAATCAAATAAATATAGCTATTAATAATGCAATATTAATGAGAGAGAAGATGATAAAGGAAGCACGCATTGAATCACTTAAAGCTGCAAATATTATCAAGTCACAAATATTGGCTAACACTTCACATGGTAGGAACTTATACTATTTTATTATGCATTATTATATTTTTTTTCTCACAACATTTTATTTATAGAATTACGAACTCCATTGGGAGCAATAGTGGGAATTCTTTCTTCTATTAAAGACGATATGCTAACTGATGAGCAACAAGACATGATTAATATCATGACACATTCTTCTGATGTAGCGTTATCTACGATTAATAATATACTTGATGCAGCAAAATTAGAAGCACATAAAATTACATTAGACAATAAGGTCTTTGATTTAGTTGACTTATTAGAAAATACCATTGAAATGTTTGGAGAAAAAATTGGAAATAAACAAATTGAATTATTTCTAAATTATGATATGAATACATTACCCAAATATATAAAGAGTGATCCTGAAAGGTAATGTTAATTGGTATAAAAAAATTTGTATAAAAAAATTTATTAAATTTCTCCTATTTAATAGATTGAAACAAATTTTAATGCACTTATTATCAAATTCGTAAGTATTTTTTTGATTTTCAGATTAGCGTTATATTATTTATTAAAGACTATTTATATCGTTTTAATATTTAATTAGTACCGAATTTACTCAGGAAGGTGAAATTGTAATGAAAGTATTTATTAGAATATGTGATTTTGCAAATGAAAATCCAGAAAATGAAACGTATGATAAATTAGTTAAAAAAGCAAAGTTAATGGTTGAAGTAAATGATACTGGTATCGGGTAAGCTAACTATTAAGTTATATTATTGATATTTTTAATTATTTCATTAATATTATATCATATTGATTTATAAGAATTAATCCTGAGTTCATGCAAAGCATTTGGGAAAGCTATATGAGGGCTAATTCATCAATAGTTAGACAACATAATGGCACAGGTCTTGGATTATCAATAAGTAAACAACTGGTAGAAATTAATGGTGGTGAAATTGGAGTAGAAAGCCAATTAGGAAATGGCAGTAAATTTTGGTTTACATGGAATATTGATATATTACAAATTTCGACTTCATCAAATACTATAAACTATAATAATTCTATCTCACCGTCTGATGAAGCAATTAATAATATTTTACCACCTTATATCCGATTAAAACGCATATTATTAATACACCCAATGGAAAGCTCAAGAATCGCAATAACACATTTTCTTAAAAATTTTAAAAGAGTTGGTATATTTGATACCTGCGATAAAGGAATTCAAGCTGCAAAATATCATAAAGATTTATACAATCAAGGTGCTTATGATATAGCATTCATCAATCTTTGTGAAAAGGATTCCGAGGAAATTTCAAAAGCCGCGTTAGAACTAAGAAGAATACATGATGATCGTCTACAAATTGTCTTTATGGTATTTTCAAATAACAATGAAAAGGTTTTAGCAAAAAAGTTAATTGAAAATACTAATGGACAAACTGCTGTCATATATAAGCCAATTACATATAGAAAATTATTAAGCCAATGCATGCATAATAACAATAATTCAGAAAGAAATATAGAAAATCCTATCTGTTATAATGCTAAAAATTTAATTAACAATAATTTCGAAAAATTTAAGTTTGACTTTGAATCGTCGTTAAAAATTAATCAAGCTTCCTCAGTAACATCACCATTAAATATTAGTAAAAAGAGGATGATTGGAAATATGGACAATGATGATATGATGAAACCTCCTAAGAGTAAAATAAAAACCATATCTATGAGTAATCGTATTTTATGTGTGGTATTTTTTTATTTTATCTTTTTTTGTTATTTTTAGTACATATATATTACTAGAATACTAATATTTGTTATTTAATTTTAGGATAATAATTCTGCAGACCTAAAGGTAATTAAGATTTAAAAGAATTTTAAGAATTATATTGTTCATTTTTTAAAATTTCAATATTTTATTTTGTAGATTGTATAATGGTATGTTTTTTTATTTATTTTTTTATTACCTTAATTAAACTTATTTCTGATACAATTCATTTTTACTAGCCTGGAATGTCAGGTTTTGATACTTCACGGGTAATTAGATCAATGAATTCACAAATTTCAAATATTCCAATAATTGCTTTGACAGCTTCTAATATAAAGAAACTTATGATAAATGTATAGAATCCGGAATGAATGATTATCTTTTAAAACCATTAAAAACTGACCAATTTAATAAGATTTTATCACAACCAACTAAACGAAAATAAACTAATTTAAGATATTTTTATTTTTATTTAAAATTTTAATTATATTAATATGCGATATGCTTTTAAAAATATGTAAATAACTATCTTAGAAAAGTATATTTTTTTAAGAACTTTTCAGAGATTATGAATAATACCGGTCAACAAATATGTTCCCTGATCTGTAATAAAATATATTATATTAATAACACCTATGTTTTTAGTATATTATATATTTAATAGTATGGTGTTATATAACATGGTGTTACGAATATAACTTCCTAAAATTTAAATATAATAGGGGGTTTCAAATTAATAAATAAGTAGAGCATTTTAAAATTAAATAGGATGTTTTAAATTGGATTTTTACTATGTTAACTCATAAATCGGAAAAATGAAATTCGCAATTAATTTATTTTGAAAATAAGTGGGATTTCAAAAAACCTTGAAATTGTTTTTAAATTCCGAAATAAGAAAGTTAAATAGGAACATCCGGACATGAAAGTTATAAATTTGCTAAAAATAGGATTGTAGATGTCTCAGTTATAGCGCTTTGCAAAAAAGATGTGAACATGTGAGTTTTGTGATGATGATGGCGGAGAATCATTGAGATTATTCAAATTTAAGAATATATACTAAATAATATAATTACGTATCATATTAATTAGAAATATTACATTAAAGTACATCTATTTAAAAAATCTTTAAGGTTCTTTGAAATCGCAAAATCTCCGTTTCTCACATGACAAAATAATCTGCAGTGTTCACATCTTTTTGCAAAGCGCAATAATGATACCTCTCGAAATTTGAAACTTTTGAGAAGTAATTAATTTCGACAAAATTTTTTTTTCGAAATTTATCGAAATTCAAAAGTCATATCGAAATTCATATTATTGTGTTTTAAAATTATTATGACCTCCACGATAATCATCCATCAACACTAGAAATCCAAAAATTTTAGAATTTTTTTACACTTTTTATGAATAGATCTAAATAACTTGTCAAGAAATAAAAATTCAAAAATTCCCGGTTATATTTCTATTCTACAGTATTTTCGATTCTACAGTATTTTTTCTATTAGTATACTAGTACTAGAAATTAGTTTTGAAAAAATTCCCGCATACCAAAAACAAAGAAAAAAGAACCTTGATATTATTTTTGCAAAACTAACTACAGTACTAGTACAAGTATAGATAATACTGTAGAATCGAAATATAACCGGGAATTTTTGAATTTTTATTTCTTGACAAGTTATTTAGATTTATTCGTAAAAAGGTACTAAAATTTTTGGATTTCTCGTGTGATGTCGTGAGTCACATGACTGTAGATCTGGTATTTAAGTAACTTATTAATTTCAAGTATGATAAATACGATTTACCACTACCCTGTTAATCTCAAAAGAAAATTCCCTTGATTATTGAAAGTAATTCGAGGTCGTAGTTAAAAAAGACAGTCTTACGTTCGGATTTAGGATCGTCTAAAAGGACGTTGGAGATGCTTCAGAAAGTGATACGCACCTGAAGTTTATTTGGCAGAGAATTTACTAGAAATCACGGCCAGAATTTGTTTCTGAGATTCGATGCATGAATCAGATCCACAACGGTATATTGCTATGTTCACAAAGCAAAGGCTTTGGACAAAGCTAAAAGGAGCTACTGCTACTGAAACAAGTACCGTAAAAAAAAAAAGCTTGTAAACTTTATGTTGTTAGAATTTTTAGGTTTTTCGACTGTGTTAGCAGTCACGGTCCTTATATTGGCTCTGCAACTTTGCTTGCAGACACTAGATTATTGGATTTTAGCGTATCCACAGATTTGATTTTTAGGGATCATTTTTTCGATAAACGGTTACACGAACTATTGCCAATAAAGTTACGTGAAAACAACAAATGAAATATTTAATAAAAGAGCTTCTTTAGTCTCCGTATGAGATAAATAAGAAATAAATACTAGTAAAACTGTTATACTATGCTGTAAAAGAAAGAACTGTCGCTATTTTTTGAAACGTTCGGATATTTTCGGGTAGTGATCGACGTTGAACGATTGGTTGTATAATGGGTAAGGGTGAATTCGGAAGCAAATTTTCAGGAAAACGACCTTTTTAACTCACTTTCAACCTATAATTAAATATGAAGATATTACAATACTCTATATACTTAATTATAGATTCAAAGTAAGTTTAAAAAATCGTTTTTATGACAACTCACTTTGTATACGAAAATTTAATCAATGTTATTCTTATTATGATTGGCTGATTTTAGGGTCAAACCAAATCGGTGAATGTGAGTGGTATTTTGGCTCTGCAACTGTGCTTGCAGACCATATTTGATTAAAATTTTTAGGGTTATAAGGATCTTTAAAGAAGAATAACAAAAGTTTGCTTATGAATTAGCTAAGCAATGTATGTATTATATTCTGAATAAACAATCTAATTCTTAGAAAAATTTATAATTGGATTTCATAACTGCAATAACCTTACAAGGATCTTACAATGCTATTAGGAAGAATAGATTTTTGATAAATAGGTAAGTTGGTCTATTTATTTTGAGATATTTTGGTTTTGTAACTGTATATGCAGATCTTATATTTGTTAGATATTATAATCTATAGTTGTGAGAATTATATATAGTTAGATATTTTGGTTCTGTAATTGTGTTTACAATTTTTATATTGTATAGATTAGAACTTATAGTTATGTTAGCAGTGCAAAGATCTTATATTATTAAATATTTTGGCTTTATAACTATACTTGCAAACCTTATATTATTTTGATATAAACTTTATATAAACTCATAATTATATTAGCAAAACAAAAGCTTTATATTATTAAATATTTTGACTTTGTAACTATACCTGCTAATAAACTTTAAGTAGTAAGTATTTAAATATTATATTATTAGAATTTATTTTATTTTTTTTATTGTTTAAAGTAGTTTATATTGCTAATAAGATTTTATTAGTTTTGTATATAGTGTTACAAGTAGTATAGTCTTCTTAGTATATCACAAGTAATATAAGATACAGAAGAGGGACTCTCAATAGTATCAAAGTGGGATATTACTTTGCAAAGGTGATTTGTTAGAAAGATTATATTAAAGCAAAGAGTATTCTTTATTTACGATACAATATCAATAATACAAGACTATCTATTAGTATCTGTATTAAAAGAATTCTAATATTAAGGAGATTATAGAGAACAAACCTAACTTTAACAGAAGGAGGAAAAGGTAGAATTTATATATCTTTTTTCTAAATATTCTCAAATATAGTTAAATATCTTCAAACGTAGTTAAATATTATCAAATATCTTCAAATATCATCAAATATCTTCAAACATCATCAAATATCATCAAATATAGTTAAACATCTTTAAGCATAGTTAAGTGTCAATAGAGATTTTTAAATACTAATAACTCTATAACTATTAATCTAATTCTTACAAATTATAGCTCATTATAATTATAAGACTATTCTAATTCTAATAATACTGTTAAAGATATTGCTAACTTACAAGATAATTTATAAAATATAAATAAAGAATAACTAATTAATAAAAATAAAATAAAGATAAAATTACTAAAACTCTTTTGATAACATTTTAGTTCTGTTTAAAAATGAACTCTATGAGTTTTTTAATACTTCATAGAGAGCTATAAGTTGTTATTTATTAAGCAATGTAAACTGCTTAAGATAACATACTTAGTGAAGTATAGCTTTTCTTTTCTACAGAGAATGAGAACTTTAGAGATTCGTTTAGCTTCTATTAAGATCACATTTGCTTTTTATTAGCTCATTTTGTTTTGAAGAGTTTGGTTAATTTCTTAAAGCTTCAAGAAATTATTACTATAGGTCTTTCTTAATATTTCTAAATAATAGCATGCTTATAAAGTTCTGATTCTACTTTCTTGATTCTTTATTTGAGTCCTATTTTGAAGTCTTGAAATTATTTTATTGAGTTAGTTCTTAAAAAGAGATAAAGAAAGAGAGCTGATTCTAATCAGAGATTCAATATAATTTGTAGCAAAATCATTTTGAATTTTTATTCAAATATCTTTTTAAGAAGAGATCAGAATTGCAAGAGGAGAGCTTTCAAATTCTGTTTCTAAATTGCAATTATTCAAAGAAGTAATATTTTCTATAAAAGAAGTTGTTTCTTCTGTTATTTCTTTATTAAAGTAAATTAGGTCAAAATTAATTTTAGCAAGAAGTTGTTCAAAAAAGTCTGGTTCTATTAAGAGTAGTATTTTTATATTATTATTATTCTAGTTGTTTTCATCTGAAGGTAAAGTTTCTATTAATCTTCTATTAATTAAAGAGAATTGAGTTCCTATAATTAATAAAAAAGAGGTTAAATAGATCAAATCTTCATTCCATCAGCTGAGAAAATTATTTAATATATCTAAAGTTTCAGGTTGCATTTATTGAGTAATTGTAGAGTAAATTTTAAGAATTTTTGTCAAATAAGGTAATTTTTAAAAGAAGAGAATTTTTAAGGTTTTTCTAAATTTAGGAAAAATAAAGGGGCCAGTGTCTATTTATAAGTTTTAATGTAATACAAAAGAAAATTTTTAATGTTATATGAATTAAATCTGATTCTAAAATAGATTTTATAGCGTTTTAAGAATTTTCTCTGAAAATCCTTTAATTTTCTATTATAATTACAGGTTGCCAGTCCTGTTTTTCATAATATTTTGCTAGTCAGTTACTATTATAATATTTTAATAGTATTTTTTCTTCATTGGTTCTAAGTTTGTAAGCTCCATTATTCAATTTTAACTGAATAATAAAAGGTCTTATTCATTTTTCTTCAAATTTTGCAGAGTGAGAGTTTTCAAGATCTTTTCTTTAGATCTATACTTTATCACCAATTTCAAATTCTTCAGTATGAATTTTTGAGTCAAATCTAACTTTCTGTTTTAGTTGAAATTTTTCTGTATTT